GCCTTATAATGGTCAATTCAGTCAAGTAACTGATGGCAACTTTAAGTTGTTGTGTTTTAAATGAAATAAGGTGGCTTTTATGTGCATTGGCCTACCAAAGTAAATGATTTGGGCCTTTGCTCTTCAAAACAAAACAGTAAGTCCTCAGCCTAGATTTCTAGCCCCACTTAACTGAGCATGTTTGAATTCCAGCTGTCCAGTACTAGTGTGCGGCTTCAATTAATGATCTCACAGAGAGTCTGTAATGGTTCTGTGCCTTTGTCAGGCCCTGTAATGCAGGTGTATAAGTGTAGCGTCCGTGTTCCTAGGTTATTGTGGCTGGTAGAAGGGTCCCTTGTAATGGACCAAATATTTAGAACTTTTCTGCTAAATGAGCTGTGGGCTAGATGGAGACAGCCCTTTTCTCTCTTGCAGAATGTGTTTCTGTGGTTTTCTGCAGAGTTCTTAGAAATCAGTTTAAGCTTCTGTGATGTATAACAGGTACGTGTAAACTCTTCTTGCTTTTGAAGGTCTGTCATATCTGCAGAGTTTGAATTTTGAGCGCATTGTTATGTGTCAGCTAAACCCTCTGAAGATTTGTATACCATCTGTCGTTAACTTGTTTGCTGCCATTACCAGGTACTCTTCATTTAGTTCATTTTCAGCTTGGTGCAATTACTGTAAGAGTGTGCATACAATAATAGCGCAGCATTGAAAACTCAATTGTGGGCTTTTTTTTTTATGTTTCATAACTGTTAGGCATGCATAATATTGAGTACTAGCTCAAGACTAGTACTGTGATATTGATCATGTTTTATGCAGGATAAGTTTCTTTCTGATGCCGATTCAATGAAATGTGGAAGTATTATAAAATTGTTTCATTGCCTTATGTTAATGCTAAAGCTTGTAATGTATGATGGTGCTAATGCTCCTTAGAGTGAAGTTCTCTGAAGTGCTGAGGAAGAGAATGGACTTTAAATACACTTGTGTTCTATGAACTGCTAATAACAGTTGCAAAACAGTAGATAGAAGTGATGTTTCTTAAATATAACACTGTATTTTAATAACATTGGAAGTCCTTTCTGTTTTCTATAAATATTTATATTTTTCTTCATTTCTTTTACTTTTTAAAAAGGAAATACCAGCTGGTGTTCTGCTACACAATTATTGAGAGGAACAACAGACAGTTTATACCAGTTGTTCGGAATGGCACTGGGGGTGACTTGGTGCAGACTTGCACTAACCCACTTGACAGTTTCTTCCCCTTTGATCCATACATACTCAAAAGGTAAAGTTCAAAAATAATCAAATAATTTTCTGCCTTGTAGAAGATAACTGAAAAATTTAAAGAAACTTTCAGTGTTTCTATAATACAATTTCTTGCCCATTTTCAGTATCTTTCCCATTGAGTGTTTTAACCAGAGCTTGTCAGAGATTTTTAACCCAATTAAGATACATATATATGGAAGGAAAAACAAGATCCAGGTTCCTGTTGAGGTCTAATTAATGTTGTTTTTGGTGGTTTTTTTTTTTAATCTCTTCCAGATCAAAGAAGACCATTGAACCTTTTTATCAGTTTTGGGAAGAACTGAGTGCCGAAGATCTTGAGAATCTGAAAAAGCCTATTAAAAGGGTAATCTTTTTTTTTTTTTTTTTTTTTTATGAAAATTTAATTTTCTTTTGCCAAATCTCTTTCAGCTGCTTCTATTGCAGGATTAATTTTTAAAATGAGTGTGAGTGTGGTTAACCTTGGTGGGATTCTGTGGCTGAAATTAGTGTTCCATTTGACCTACTCAGGACAATTGTAAAACAGCTCAAGTTTTGAATTATTTCCATATTCCAGCTCTTTTTGTGTATTTTGTTCACTTTTTCATGGAGAGTGTCAATCCTGTCTCAGCTTTTTGTTCAAGTCCTTGGAACTGTGGTGGTGTTTTTTTTTTTTTTTTTTGTTTTTATTTTTCTAGACTTCCTGTGATAACATGTAAAAATACTTATTTCTGTTCGTAGCTTTGTAAATGTCTTTGTTATCTGGGTAGTTTATAATCTTTGTTGTAGTTGTTTGATTAGCAGATGTTATTACTGCAGCATTGAACAATTTCAGAATTTATTTAAAAATATCTTTCTGGGACTTGGCATTCATTACTTCTGTGACATCTTAACTGAGACCAAAGTAGAAGACTCTTAAGGGACTGGAGTTATCTCTCTGCTCTTACTGATCCTTTTAAATTTATGCAGGGTACTTCTGAAGATGAAGATGATGACTTTTTGAAAGGAGAAACCCCTCAGAATGATGGCATGGTTGGAATTGCTCCAAATTCTTATGAGTCAAATACCCGGAGCCCAGTGAGCCCCACAGGCTCCCCTCTAGACTGCTATGTGCAATACCCACACTGACCTGCAGGAACAGAAGTGAACGGATTAAAATTGTGTGCAATTTTCTGCTCTGCAAAGAGACTTTAATTCAAATTTCTGAACTGGCAAATGTTTAAGTAACTGCATTGAAGAAAAAAATGTTTCTTAATCAGATTTCTACAGATAAATTCATATGTTCCTAGAAAGATCTAGTGAATAAATAGGGTGGTATTTTACAAATTTCACATTGAAATGTTTTTATGACTTCAAGGGTTTTGTATAGTTTATTTTCTTGACTTTGGAAGCTTTTGTTTACTAATTTATCTCTACAAGGCTTTGTATATTGGGGAGAAATTCTGGGGTTTCTTCCTCTTGATTTCTGCAGCACCGGGGTTCCAAGGTTAGCATTTAAACCCTACTCTGCTGGCTTTGGTTTTGAGTGAGTTTCAAAGGGTTGGTATGAGACTGTGAAAGGGAAGGCATGATTCCAGTCTGATTATGATTCTTCTTGCACACATCTCTTAAGTGTTTCCTGTCTGTAGAATAGTGTTTGGTGAAGCCATTTGGTAGTGGAAAGTATATTCAGGTGATAAGCGTTATCACTGCTTAAGTATGTAGCTGACAAAACTTTTCTGAACTGATGGTTGCTGGAAGTGTAGAAAATGACAGAGTAGGTGACTGGTATCATTTGTAGATAGCTTTCTCTGAGATGCCTAAGAAGTACTCTGAGAAAAATATTTATTTTCAGACTTCGAAGTTTATATGTGAATGCTGAAAATAAAAAAAGCCCATGTAGAAAGAAGTGATGGTGTCATTGCGGTCTCATGCGTCAGTGAAGAGCTGCGTCATGTACGTGTTTCATCTTTTTTCATGGTTGCTGCCTCTTAGATGTGAGAGAGAACATAATGGTGGAAGAAAAATAAATGTTATCTGTATAATGTTTAGTTGAAAATTTCTTGCTTTGGGGTACAACTCTTAATAGCTGTGCAAGTACAGTTGTCTGCTGTTCTTTAGCATGTGACTTTGTAGGCTTTATAGAGCCCCTGCTGAGCGACACAACAGTGTCGGAACCGACACTGGTCACGACACTGGGCCTCTTTCTTCATCAGGCTTGTGCCTCAAAGCAGAGGAAGGCAGACAGCGAGCAAACGCTGCAAGCCCTACCGTTAACCAGGAGCAGGGCTGGAGCTGCCTCCCTGGAGGCTGCTGCTCGCCTATAGCTGGCAGGAGCTGGAGCTCTGCCGCGCTGCGGTCCCGCCTGCTGCGCCAGGGCCGCTCTGCAGCGGGGCTGAGGGGGAGGAGGCGGCGGCCCCGGCCGCGCTGCGAGCCGGGCCGAGGGAGAGGAGGCGGCTGTGGCCCGAGGGGGGCTGAGGGAGAGGAGGCGGCGGCCCCGACC